ATGCATTTTTTTCCTGCTAAATTGGAGACTTGTCACCTTAAAATTTCTACAAAATATGCAGACTGTGGACAGAAACAAGACAAACAGAAGCAAAAGACCAAAAGCTCAAAAGAGCTTCTCAAATGAGAACTTCAGCATATTCAGGGTCTGATAAAAACCTATCATGAATTTTGCTGTGGGTTTGGGCTGTAGTTTGCTTGTACCAGTAGGTTCCTTTCATTGCATGGGCATTTGCTTCTGACCAGTGGGCAGCCTATAGCTCTGACCCAGCCCATGTCCAGTTTATCCTGACACAGGAGTCTTTAACTGTCCCATGGCTGCCAACCACCCTTGTGGCCCTTAAAGATTGATTTCTGCCCTTCATTTTTGTGGAGTAAGTTGCAAAAGCATCTTAGTAGACAGCTGTTTAAACCATGAATCAGAAACAGGTAAACAGAGAACAAAGGTCAGCATGAACACATTCAACAGGATAAAGCCAGTAGCCTGTAACACCCAAACCACAATTGAAAATACAAACCTTCAACAAATGTTTTCAACCACATATGAGAAAGGGAAATGGAGAATGACTTTGATAAATCCCAAAGAGCCACACAGAAATGCTCAGGGCTCCATTTGGAAGCGCTCACATCTGGACAGGCCCCCAGGGGTCAGAAAGCAGGAGGGCACAGATCAGCACCTGACTTCAGTTTTTCAATTCCTCCTTGGGGTTTGCCAGGGAAGACATCTCCAAATCCTGCCAACTATGCCAAATGTACTAGAGATATGACTCGCTAACTCTGTCAAATAAAAACCAAAGAGATTTATTGAAGCTAAAATCAGATTCAAGTGGAGAATCATGAAAACTTCAAAATTTGATGCTCAAGAATCCAAGAGAGGAGTACAAATCTCACACAGTTAATGTGCTGTACAAGGAACTACAAAATACAGTCTGATTGATTTATAGTGATTGAGGTCACTTAAAGACAGGACAAAGTGAAGCATGGTTATTAACATTATTGATTGTTTTAATAAACTAATACACTGGAATCAATTACTTGGCTAAATGGACATAATTACAAGGTATGTGGGAATACGTTATGACCAATCAAAATAATGGCATGATGTATGTTTTCAAGAATACCAAAAAACCAAACTCACTGCCATGGAGTCGATTGTGACTCATAAGGACCCCTCCTTGGGTTTTCGAGGCAGTATCTCTACGGAAGTAGATTGGCCAATCTTCCTTCTGAGAAGTGGCTGATGGGTTTGAACCTCCAGCCTTCTGGTTAGCAATCAAATGCCTTAGGTATTACACCACCAGAGCTCCCATAGATTGTTAAAAATTTCCTCACCTAGGGCACGAGATCTGGGGAGATCTGATACAAAGAGTCTCAATAAGGTAGGTGTTGGTTACAGGCTTTACGATGCATGATATTCACATTCTTAGCCTGCCTTAATGATAGGGTTCGTTCCTAATCAACAGGATTTACATCTGTGTGAAAGCCTTACCTTTTGATTTTAAATTCCACATCAGAAGACATACTGCAGTAAAAGAAAAAAGCAAGTATTTAAACTTAACTCTACTTTCAGCTATTTGACACTGCTTGCGATGAGTAAAAGGAGCTGTGGTAGCACAGTGGTTAATAGATTTGACTGCTAACCAGGTGGTCAGTGGATTAAACCCACCAGCCACTCCATGAGAGAAAAATGAAGGAGCCAGCTTCTATAGACTTACAGCCTTGGAAACCCTATGGGGCAGTTCTGCTTTGTCCGATAGAGTCACTAAGAATCAGAATCAACTTAATAGCGTTGGGTTTGGTTTGAGATGAGTAAGCTTTTTTTACTTTCCTTTTCTTTCTTTCTTTTTTTTTTTTTAGATGATTTTTTGATTACTAGTTCTAACTATTGGGAAGTTTCATTGTGGTTTACTTCACTCGAAAATTTTGTTTTGTCGAAATCTGGGCATACCTGTCATAGTGGTTGTGCATGAGAATATATGTGTTGTGTCTGCTTCAAAACAAATAAAACCCAAAGCAAACAAAAATCACTGCTTTGAAAGATACAGGTAAAGTTTGAACTTTGAAAGATACAGGTGAAGTTTAATTAAGTAACACTCAGAAAACCAAACTCACTGCCGTTAAGTCGATTCTGACTCATAGCGACCCTTATTGGGTTTCTGAGGCCATAAATCTTTAAGGAAGTAGATCATCATCCCATCTTCCTTCTGTGGAGCGCTGGAGGATTTGAACCACTGATTTTCTGGTTACCAGCCAAATACCTTCTACTTGATGGCACATAACAAAAACAACAGCCAAATACCTTATTAATTAAGTAAAGTCAAGCTAATTGCCTTCTGTAGGGAATGACTCCCACAGTTCAGTTGAAAATGCATAGGATGGATTCTCACCTGGTCACACTGCTGTGGTTTAGAGACAGCAAAGCTATGTTGTGGTGAACTTCTCAGTTATTTCATTGTTTGCTGTTCTTCCCTGCCTTTCCTCCCAGCCTCTTTAGGGCAAAGAGGATGGCTGTAGCCTCTCTTGGCTTTGTAATCAACTGCAAAGATGAAGGTGCTGATTATTAGTCTTTCAGAATCCCTTTCTCAAACAAGACGTTTTGAGTCACTTATGAATAGCAAAGAAATGAATTCAAGGGTTGACATGGACAGAGGCATTATAACTCTAGCCCAGCAAATTAAACACAATTGAATTACTATTAACACAACAACAACAACAACAAAACTTCAAGCAAATGTGCCATTAAAAAAAAAAAAAAAACCCCTCTTAAGTCATTGTAGCAGGTTTGGGTTTCCTCTGGTTCAAGTTTTCTTGCCTCTTTGATAATCAAGTGATCTGAAGAAAGGCCTAGAATTTCAGGGGGAATCTGTATGACAGGCTCACAATGAGGCTATTCACGAGTGCTCTTTTATTAGCTTAAATGATATCCGCATCATTCTTAGTCTCTGGCTTTACTACAAGGCTTCATTTAAACTTAACCCAACTTGCAGGCTTAACTGATCCAGGAATTACTCAATACAACTAGCCAAGTACTGTAGCTCTTTTTTTTTGATAAGGGAATTTAGCACAATGGGCTTTACAGTGCTCAAATGACTCCATTTTTTTTCCTGTCTTTGAGATGCGCTACTTATATGACCTTTTGTTCTTAATAAAACGTTGCATAGTGTGAGTATATTTTAATATTTTTTAAAGTATAAACCAGCAGGATATTGGCCCTTAAAGTAAAAGTTTTGATCTTTATTTTTAATTGTAGATGATATAGAAGTAGGATTCATGTCATAATATTTACACAGCTGATTCCAATGTATTAAATAGTAACTATCAGATATTATTACATCAGACTGGAAAATATTTTCTTTATTTTTGAGGGGTGATTCTGGCATCATTACTAGTAGTACTTCAGCATAGAATGTCCACTTTTGCACACTTCTGGTTATCTACTGTTATTTAACTATTTTCATTAACTTACATGATCTGTAAGTTTGAGTAACGCTTCAGTGAGATTGGCCAGAAGCAGTCATGAGTATCATAGGGTTAAAACCTCCCCCCAAAAAAACAAATCCATGACCATCGAGTCATTTCTGACTCATAGCAACCCTCATTGGGTTTCCCAGGCAGTAGATCTTTACAGAAGTAGATTGCCACAATCTTCCTTCCGTGAAGCGGCTGATGGGTTTGAACTGCCAACCTTCTGGTTAACAGTCAAATGCTTTAGACACTGTGCCACCTGAACTCCTTATCATAAGGCTAGAAATCATGAAATTATCACAGTGCTAATATCCTTAATATTCTCCGTGTTACCCCTCAGGGATACTTGGTTAGTATCCTGAGTGTAGGATGGAGGGTGCCCAGGCAATAGTGTGGAGAGGAGATCCTTGAAGACGTATTTGTAGCACACCACCACGCTGAGAGTATTGGGTAACCACACTTTGGATCCACATCTCAGAACAGTGGTTCTCAAAACTTTAGTAGGAACTGGAATTATCAAGATGCCTGGGCACACCCTCAGAGATTCTGATTCTATTGGTTTGAGATAAGAATTTGCATTTTTAACAAGCACCCAGTTGATGCGGATGTGGGTGGCTACTGAGTCATACTGAGAATCATTGTGCCAAAAGCACCAACAAACGCTGGGCATTCATACTGCCAACCTGTGCCTGTGGCATCCGTGTATGCGAGGGCCCATGTTGGGTAAGAGTGCTTCCTGCTGTGATTTCCTAGAGATGTTGGAGGCAGGAGGGGAAAGACGCCTCTAGTATTTCCAAAACACTAGAGCTGAACTGTCTTCACCTTTCTGCTTTCACCACAACAGGGCAGGACAACTTTGTCCTCATGTTCCCAGGAAAACGTCTCACCTGTGGATGATCTGGGGTTTTGAGAATGTCTTCTCACTCCCACCTCTAGCTTTGCAATTAGAATTCAGAGGTTGTTATCTGCGGTATTTAATCCAAATTTGTTCTCTATGCCGCTCCCTTCCTCCTTTTAAAGTGACGTTAGATATTTAGAAACAAAGGTCTTTTACAAAAGGACTTCCAATTAGAAATGAGTTCTCAGGAAGCCTTGTGGGAATTATGGATGTAAACGTTTAATCATTGCATGAAGATAAGATTTTTCTGTGGAGATAAGTTGATCTGATGGTCAGGACAGATAGAGAAAAGAAATGACTACAGTGATTATTAATGTTCACACCACTTTGCCTGAGGTGCTGTTGTGTATTCTGTTTGTAGAATCCACCTCCATATGGTTGGCAGGCATTTTTATTATGAAAATTTTCAGATCTGCCCACACGTAGAAAAGACAACAGATTCCCATGTACTCATCATGTGGATTCCACAGTTATCACCATTTTGTCTTTTTTTTTTTTTTTGGCAACCTTTGGCTGCTCTTACATATTGCTAGTGGTTTTCCTCATTGGTTCATTTTCAGAGTTAATCAAACCTGAAACAGTTTGCTTGGTGCCTGACTAAAGTGATCATGAATAGTAAATTAATGTGTCCTTTTCAGGAATGTGTTCCCGAAAACCTAGAATTGAAGAAGAAGATTTTTGCCCAGTTGGATCACATCGTTGATGATAAAGTTGTCATAAGCAGCTCAAGCTCTTGCCTCTTGCCTTCCAAGCTGTTTGCTGGTTTGACGCATGTAAAGCAATGCATTGTGGCTCATCCTGTGAGTATTTTAAGCCTTAAGAACTGATTGCATCTTACTGTTTTTCAGGGGCAATAAATACATTGAGACTACTCCACTGGTATTTTTTAAAAATAGCTTTATTGAGATATAATTCACATACCATGCAATTTGCCAATTTAAACTCTGCACTTCAATGGTTTTTAATATATTGACAGAGTTGTGGAGTCCTAGCATTTTAAAAAAGAATTTTATCCAAAAACTCATTGGATTTTCTATATAGTGTAATTTGTGGAGCTCTGGTAGCATAGTGCCTAAGGCACTTGACTGCTAACCAGAAGGCTGGTGGTTCAAACCC